GGGAGAGGTGGTGGCGGTGAAGAGGAGGAAGAAGAGGTTGTTGAAGGAGAAGTGATTGGTGATAAATTGTTGTGATGTGGTGAGTGACTAATTTGGGAAAAGTTCATTGAATTTCCAGAAAATATTATAGAGCTAGAACGAGGCGTTATTGGTATGGGATTAAATTCACCATTCTATATAAAATTTGTTATGCAATTAATATCACTAATTTTTCAAATGATTAATAAAGCTTTTTTTATAAATCAACAAATCACCTCGCCAATATGTCCTAAATATATTCCACTGCCATAACTGAAAAGAATTTGACAACCGATTGGATCGAATTGATAGCTAGCAATTCCTTGTAAGGCTAGCCTCCTTCGTTCCTTCACAAACAATTCTTCTCTCGATAATGTTTCAGAAAAGGATTTTTCTTATACCAAAAAGGGATGTAGGTGGTTTTAACAAGTCATCTGTTCACTTTTGTCTATACCCATTTAGCGTTGTACAAACATCATAATCTTTCCCACAATATTTTTACACTTGTACTTGTCATATATTCCAAAAAAACAAAATAAAACAGTAATGATAAATTCAACTTGGGAACAAATACGTCGAGAAGTTAGAAATTATCGTAGTTCAATACAACCTTCAAATGTTGTCAACATTAAAGACTTTTGTTTTGATGAGGAAAGTAATCGCGCATATTTCTTGGCTACAGATTCTTCATGGATGAAAACATCAACATTATTTGTGGTTGATTTGCCATCTTTGAAAGAACACGAGTGTAAAAAAAAGCTTATGGAAAATAACGACGACAACGACGACAACGACAACAACGACAACAACGACAACAACGACAACAACGACAACAATAATGATGAAATATGTTCCAAAGTTCATAATCAATTTTCTTTTAGCTTTTCAAACAATGAATTTCAGGTTAAAGGTAAGTGAAAGTTTGTATCAATTGATTAAGGTATTTTTTTTTTCCAAAAAAAAATAATATAATATTATCAATATTTTATATTTAGTTTTGTTATACTTAGCGAACTGTTTTTGGTGGGATTTACTTTTTTTATTTTTATTTATTTATTTCCCAGTTCCATAGATATTTAGACTCTTTTTTAAAATATTTATTTGTAATTTTTTAATGTAAACAGAAATTTATACATACACGCGTGAACGTATACATATATATTTATATTACATGATTATTTAATTGGTCTAAATCATATTTTATATATTTTGTTGCAGACTTTCCTTTTACCTTTCCACAATCTATTTCATGCGATAAATCAATAACAACTACAATACCAACAAATTCTGACCACATATATATTTCAAATTTGAAATCAAATAAAAAA